GTCTCGGTCCACTACTGGCCACAGCTAAGATCATCTCGGCTGCGCCGGAAGACTTGACTGGAGACCACCGTCAAGATAAGTCTAGGTTTAGGCGGTATATTTGTAAAACAGTATACTATGGTAGACGTCTAGCGGGTTTACATTTTGCATTTCCTTGTGCGGAAATTTTAGACATCTTAGCTTGCACTCCAGTGGTGGAACATATGTATTGTTTAATTGTTCAATGTAATGTAATTTTTTTAAACATCTTGTTCTATTTGGCTCTCTGTACCATTAATTAGGTTACGTCGTTGATATTAGATTATTTTCTTTTGTGTGTGGTTAAGCAAAACAAGTTCCGACTAAGATCTCGGAGATTTGTGGCTAAATCCGTCTTGAGACACTGGCGCTCTTAACTCCGCTTTGAGCTCGGTCCTTAATTTGCACGCCACTAGCCAACTGTTTTGCACTGATTGACCATCAGATTTCACTTTTCGTTTTTATTAATAATTGATTAATTAAAAAAAAGGCAAAGAGGAATCCTTTTGTTTATGAAGAAAAGGCGTGGCAAATGGCCTAGCCCTAATATACGCCAATTAGAACTTCGTTGGGGAGCAGTAATTTAACAATATCACTAAAAAAAATTTACTGTCACTCAAATTGCAGGACTTATAAAAAATCTCTCTATTTATTTTCCTGAGCTTTTCTCCTCTTTTCGCTTCATGGAGGTCAAAAAAGTTGCTGGGTGGAGTCGCTGGTACAAGAAACGTTGGAAGATAAAGGCCAGTCATTCAAATTTCAAACATGATTTTTATTAAAACCTATGCGCTAAGTTATTGGAGGCTTAAAGTTCAATATTTTGAATAAAAAACATCCAATATATCTCCCAGTTGCCATGCAAGCTCTACAGAATGTCCGTCAAAGGAGATATAAAAGTCAATTTTCTCAAGCTGTTGTCTAGCAATGGCTGCTGGCACGAATGCTGAAAGGAACTTTGTAGACATATACTTATCGTGTTTGTGTGAAAAAGTTTGATTCATTGAGGCTATAACAACATTTGATTCGCCATGATTATACTTCCAAACGCACTCCCCTGATATATTGAACCAAATGAAGCATATTTCAGATTACGCCATCATAACCGAAATCCAGAGCTACTTTAGTTCTTCGTCATACAATAAACTTTTCTCCCCCTTTTGTTTCATGGAAGTCTGAAAAATTTATGCCTTTACATTGCCAAGAAAGTTGCTGGGCGGGCGCCGAGAGTAGTAGTGGAGAAGAAGCGTCTACATTAAAGTTCTAAATTTACATTCAATTCGGCTACTAAGAAAGTGAACAGTGCGCTGGCGCTTGTTTGTTTTCTGACTTCGACGCACTCTGCTATGAATAATTTATGTATTTATCTTATTAGATTCTTTCCGGGATTGCCTTAATTCTGGAGAAAGACATTGGGCGGCGTTGTCGAACATAATATTATTTGAGTACGTGATAAAACTGTTGGAATGCATGAAATGTTTCCATCTAATTCCATTGTTAACCAGAGAGTTTTAGTTCGGGATTCCACGAATTATCTTTGATAAACGTTAACGGATGCAAATACCGGAGATTGTTAGGTCAACTAGTCAGGATTTTGCTACAATGTTCTTGTGCTGCCAGATCCTTCAAGGACTTTCATCATTCAAGCAAAAAATACATGGAACGATTTAAGAAGGGAATCGACAAGTACCAATTTACAGTCATACAAGGTGGACTCGATTTCGCCGTACTCATAGTGGAATTTACTGACTTGAGGTAGTGTCTGAGAACATTTTCTGGGTATCCCAAAAATAACAGAGTGACACGGGAGGTAGAGTGGCTGCAGATCAGTTAGATAAAATCAACATGACCTTAGTAAAAGTTTTCTGGTTTTCGAGATATTGCCACATTTAAGCTTATTTAAAATTTCCTACTTTTTGCTCCATTTCTGGCTGTAAAGATATTCTAGCTTATTTTGTTTTTCCTGGGCTACCATTATTAGTTGAGACAACCGAGTGCTCATTTCATTGAGAACTAGCCTTATGTTAAAAAAAATATTTAATTTTAATTATTTTTTTTAGCATACCGTGCTGGTTTTCAATTAAATGAACACTCGGTTGTTTTAGCCAACTATTAATTGTAGTCTAGGAAAAAAAATCATAAATTCGAAGTCCTTTATAGGCATAACACGCAAAAAAGGAGCAAAAAGTAGGGATTTTCTCAAAAACTTAAAAGTGAATATCTCGAAAACTAGGAAACTTTTTACGGTCATGTTGATTTTATTTGATTGATTTGAAGCCAGCCTACCTCCCGTGACACTCTGGCGTGTTATTTCTAGGACACTGTGTATATATAGGGCGGCCGATATGTAACTGACTGGTTGGTATCTTGAATATTTGTGAAATGAAATAAAATACGTCCATTTTTTACATCTTAATCCTTCAATGAAGCTTAGAAATTATATATGAAACATAATATCAGACCAGTGTCCGCCTCTAGAAGCCGACCAAGCCTGATCCCTCTTGATTACATTTTCCATCACTTCTTGGTAGGTTATGGGACTCTACAGTATTTGGTTTGTGGCATGAACCCCATTTTTCAAAAATCCCCACAAAAAGGTGAGGAGCCGTAAATTCCGGTGACCTTGGTGGTCAGTTGACATCACCAAATCGAGTAATTAAACATCGCGGAAATATTGTTCGCAAAAGATTCATTGCTTCCCTAGCTGTGTGACAAGTTGCTCCGTCCTGCTGGAACCACGTCGTGCCTTGCAGGTTAAATTGTTGGATTTGAGGAGCCAGAAAGTTTTGCACCATATCACGGTAGGGCTCGCCAGTGACAGTAAGAGAATCACCTGCAGCGTCTTCAAATGAGTAAGGTCCAATGGTACCTGAATACTCAACACCGCATGACTGTATTGTCGGCGACTTTCATGGTCGCTAGGCTGTAGTTCTTGGGTTAACTAAATTTTGTATGGCCACAAATGCATGTCTTTTTTTAAATAGTGTCTAATGACGTGCAATGAATACCCAGTTCTTAAAAACGATGTCTGGTAGACGTCTCAGGGCGCTCCACTACACTTTCACGAATTCTCGATATTTTCCGGGATACGAACAATTCGAACACGGCCCAACATGGCAAGTCTTTAACTTCACCTGTTTGTTCAAATTTCCGCACCAACTGACGAATGGTGTTGACACCATTATTTCGATTGAAATCTTGTCGTAGCTTCAGAATCGTTGCAACAATCGACTCATTGTTCAAGTAAAACGCTTCAACAATACGGACGCATTATGGGATCGTGTAGCGCTCCATGATGAATTGGACACATGTGCTTTAAAAACAAATACTACGGCGCCACCTACTGATATGCGTGTATCAAAAATGACGCGCGATTTAAATCAGTCAGTTATATATTGGTCACAGTGTACATGTCCTGAAAAGTGTGGTTTCAATGATACAAGCTGTCAAAGTTTACAACAACGTTATTTTATTAATATCGCAAATATGCTGATTTTGTTGGATTTTGGCGGTATTGTGCATTGTAACAATACGCTAAGTTACCACTAAGTAGTAAATAATTATGGAGGTCTCATGAATGATGTTGAACAACATAAGTATGCGCCACTGACTGCTAAATATAATTATATTTGTTAGAATTAAGCAGGTAAAGATACAGCTTGTTTGTCTCTTAGTATCGCTCCGTATCTTACGTCATTTTTTTGAGAAAAAAATACAATCCGTTTCTATGCAAGCTTTTGCTCTCATATTTTAACAATTTTTCGACTTGAACTGAAGTTGTTTTTATTTTTTCCTCGAAACCAAAGTGGGATAAAAAGTGATAGCAAGTGAAAAAACAGATGAGAAATTATTTGCGCAATAAAAAAAAATTATTTCTTAAAAAGTGACCAAAACTGTTTTTCAATATTGTTCGTGGGACTTGCAATGAACAAAACTGCCAAAATTCAACACAATCGAAGGAAGGATTTTTGAGATGTTAGTATGCCTATAATTTTTATAAATCGTTGTAAGTGAAAACCAGGTTTTTTAGAACACGCGCATTTGTAATTATGCCTATCATTATTAAATCATATACCTAAATATATGAACAAATTAATATAAGTGTCTATCAAAAATGCAGCCTCATTTTCCAGGCGTTTAGTCGAACACCCTGTATATCCCTGAATATTTTTTAAATATCTTATCATATGGATGGTGAGGGATAATTTTGAACAATTCTCAAGAGGTTGGTGTCTCGGTACAATAAACCACTCATGCAAACTTTGGTCACCCTGTACATGTAGCAGAATCTTATTGTTGATGAACCGGCTAGTTGGGTGATGATAAGAATGTAAATAAATATCCAGCTATAAATATCTTACACTGGGACTAGTGAATGCTGTAATAGGACCGCCCAACCTAAAAGCTCCGAAACTACTTTTGGAAAAACGTTGAGCAAATTGATATTTTTCTGCGTTTTAAGATCTACAACATAATAATAATATGCCTTTATTTTACCTGGCGGGTATATCAGCTAACAGCTGCTTTTGGTACCAACCAAGGCTACATAAGATTAACAAACATAAAAAGAATCACAGATACAAAAAACTAATGGTCAAGACATATAATACTGAGAAGTAACAAGTACCTACAACATAATAGTGTGTAAAGTGTGTAGACGGATTTAAATCACATACACTCACGCACTCACTGAGACAGAAATAATAAAAAAAAGGAAATGTATAAAAAACATAGAAAAGAACATGAAATAAGTAACATTTAGCTATGTAATCAGAAGAAGCATTCACGTAAAGATCAGTAGATGATAAAGTTAAATGTACATAAGTCAAACGCAACCAGACACTTAATGTATAATCACAGCAGTTACAAGATGAAAGCTTAGTATAAAATTAGGTATCATCGAGAACATTGCTTTATTTTAACTTTAAAATTATTGTTACTCAAACTTTGCAGATCTGATGGTAGACAATTATAAAGGAAAGGCGTTATGTACGACAAGCACTTTGTGAATTGTGCTGATTTATGGGGGGCATATCGAGGGTATAACCTACATAGCTTAAGTTCGCCGAGTGATGGTGACTTCTGAAGGAAAGTTTGCTGCTCACATATGCTGGATATTTGGTTAATAGGACTGTCTGTTCTACGAGCAACAATTGTACAATCCATCTCTGACGCATCGTGAGCCAGTTCACATCTTTAATGTATCTTCTAGTAATGTGTTCCCTTCTCGGAACACCTAATGCATGCCTGGAACATACTGGGTTTTTAAAAATTAATGGAAAGTCATTCGTTATAAGGATCCTGCGGGGTAAGCGGGTGTGGGCAGTGTGTCACTCTTTGGTCGAAGCCATCGGGCAACTTCAACTTGGTAGACCTTTATACGCATTTGTAGTACATACATCACTTATTTCAATAAGCTTTATTTTACATTGAAAATCAATAGCTTTCGAATTTTTGACCGGCTTTTTATTTCGCTCGTGGCAGGACAATTTGATAACGTTCTTGAAGGATAATGCGTACTTGAAGGTTGTGGTTTTCATTTGATTTACTTAACCACTTTATGGGTATACAACTTCACAAACACATATACAGTTATCTTTGGACATATCGTAACGCTTGGAATCTTAGAAATGTATGTCTACGCATGTGGAGTCTACTAGACGGGTCTTTGATGACGTAGAAAAAACATCTGATGCTAAACATGAAGGTTCTGCTACCATTGACCGAATTTCACGACCATAAAAAGAATCTACTTTATCCTCTCAAAGCCTTATGGCAGGCGTGAAAGGGAAAATGGATGGATTGCTCACCCTTAGTTAAGTGAGACATTCCAAACCTTGCCTGGGTTCAGATGTTCAGTATACTGACATTTGACTATATATTTTAAATTAGAATGCATTAGAATCAGAAACAAAAATCATACAAAATGAAAAAGGAAGTAAACTTCTTAACAAGATCCAAGCTGTTTTTCAAGTATCGATCTGCAAATCGAACGCTTACAAAACATTCTAATTTCGGTGCAACGTAGTTGTATTGCCTCAAAATTGCAAATGTTTGAGGGAATACATTTGCTGAATATTGCTGGATATGAAAATTGTCTAAAAAATGGATAATTCAAAATTTATCACTTCACTACATGCGTATCTAGTCAACAATGAACACAGAATAGTTGCTGATCATCTATTTCGTGTCGGAACAACGAGATTTCCTAACAGGAAAGAACAACATGATTGAATATCAAAAAACGCTCGTGTGTGGGCTGCGAGTGACCGATAGAAGCTCAATCAAAATAGTGCCAGATCAGGTTCTCGGTGATCTGGACTCCGACCAGCCGAAATGAATGGATCTTTGGCAGAACTTGGAAAACCAGCGAAACCGGATGATCACTAGGACGCTTTTTGTTCGTCAAGGTACAGTACTGTGTTTTGGAAGCATTAAACTGTAGAATATGGTTGCGGCCCCAAGCAGTGACAACCTCCAGGTCTCTCGTCAGAGAAGAAGTCGTCGCTGGTCTTCTTTTTTCCAGCTTAGCAGGAGAGATCGGCTTGTCACTCCGAACTCCTGCACGTAGAGCGCTATCATCAGCGAAGCCGTGAATTGGGTTCATCGTGCAGGAAAGGAGGTCGCTGATATGTAAGAGGAACAGTGTCGGAGCCAAGACCGCTTCCTAGGGAACACCCGCGTTGACGTTGTGGGATGAAGAGGAGAACCCACTTACGACGGATGTCTTGCGACCAGAGGTATAGTCAACCACCCATCTGCAAAGCTTTTCTGGGGGGCCATAGAATGGAAGTTTGCTTAAGAGGGTAGCGTGCCACAGTTGATCGAACGCTTTTGTGATGTCGTGAGCAATGAATGAGCCTCACCATAAGACTGGATGAGTATACTCTACTATTGCGTGACGTAAGCTAGGAGGTCCCCTGTGGATCGCTGGTGCCGGAAACCATACTGCCTGTCTCTAATCAAGCGGAGAGTTCGAGGTAGTCCAGTAGATAGCGGGTGGCACCGCCTCGGTCGACTGGTCCTTGTCTACCACCTTCTTTTTGCGTGTTAATGATATTAAATAGACCTGAAGTGGCTCGTTGGCCTCGGTGGCCTTTTCCAAGTACAATGACAACTAATGGCAATATCGTGATTAAAACATGGCCAGGTCCAGCGCTTAAACAATGGAAAAAATCTTTACATAAGTGAACATACCAAGTCAAATTTCGACTCCAAGTGTGTCTTTTGAATAGACTTGTCTCATCGTATTTCTTTCAGTTATGTGAGCAACCTTTGTTCTGAGGTGGCTAATTTCTTCCACTTCCGATGAATCAGCTGTTTCTACCTAATTTCTCTTACGCTATATGAACAAACAAAAAAAGTCATGGAAATTATACTGTCTCTTAAAAATCTGTTCCAAGCTGATCGAATCTATATCTCACATGTAATTGTTTTGATCGACTTCCTTATTCTTATTGATAGTTCATATGATGTTAGGTATGAACATAAAGCATACATAATATAACTGATGACAGAATCTCGTTGGAGGCACAGAATCAATCTACTGAATCATGTAGCTGACAAAATACTGTTACTAAACCACAAGGCTCCATACAAAAAACTTATAAACGTCTTTCCAAATAGCAAGTCTGAGTTTATTTTTACAAAGTTGTCATCCCTGATATTTGCATGTCCTTTTCTCGACAGACTCTTTACGGGATCTCAATTTTTTCCCCACACGGTACGTCTCGATGAATAATGCAGCAAATCATATGGCTTGAGATAAATTTTCTTCTCATAAATAAATTTCTACTCTGGGCATGAGCGTCAGAAGTGAGGTTTTGAGGGACGAGAGTACACCATGGGTATAAAATAGCAACCGTAAAATTTTTGTAATCTGTAGTTTCCAGCTGTCAAAAAAATTTGTTTTCCAAGAATATCTCACCGCTTGCTTGTTGGACGGGTCAAGGTAACCAGCCGGGTAATGAAGTTGGCGTATTCTATATTTTGAGGTAAAGGTGACAGAATAGCACCTTTAAACATCTTCTAAGTGGAATGGGAGGGCGTTTATGGTGATACCTAATCTTGAAGTTTACTAAAGTCCCATTTTATCAAGTTATCTGAGTTGTCTGTGTAAAACTACTATTTTTCAGCATTTTACATAAAGTTCTTGTCTTTTATATACTTGCTACGCTTTATGATTTTCAAGAAATATATTACGTATATTTATGTAATTTTTGTGAAACAAAAAGGGATCAAGTGGAATACTAGGATAACATTATTATTAATACTGTATAATCCTGAAGTATCACAACGCTATACAAAGGGCAAGACTGGTATGATGCAAAGAGAATACTACACATCATACGCAAGACATCTACCCGATTATTCAAGTCCTTCCTCCAAAATAAACAATACAAATTTAAAAATTGACAGAATGAACAATATCATATATTTAGGATTTTTTTGAACCAACATGTTTTGAGGTGGGACATTCATTCATCCTACGTTTTGAAGAAAATAAGATTTATTGCATACAAAATTGAATACATCTCTGACAAAAAAGTATATCTACTATACAACATGCCTTGATTGAGCCGCACCTTATGTATGGAATATTAGCGTGGGGTACCGCATGTTCAGGGTATTTAAACGACAAGTTTTACCGAGAATTCTTTTAAAAACTTTATTCCGAAAACTAAAATTATGCTCAACAGATTATTTATATAACGAAACAAAATTATTTGATATCAAGCAACCTTATTTTTTACATACTATCAGTCATGTGATAATGAAATGATGAAAAATCACAAGATTGTCAGTAAGCGCGATAATTCATACATTGCCATGACACTCGATATAAATTATGAGCAAAAACTGTCCCTAAACCTCGTAAGACCACATCGAAGCGATCTTTGCTCTATATGGCTCCAAAATTATATGAACACGTACCCATAACTTTCAAAAGACATTGCCAAAATGGATACGCTCAATAGGAAGACAGCATATTATTGTATGCCTATCAAACATTTCTTAAAAACGAGCATCATCTGCATATACTTCTCTTTAGTATAAATTGTTCTTTAAGTTCCTAATAACTTTTATGTTTTGATTTTGGAATGCTGATCCATGCACCGGCATTGTCCTTCTGTGCATTGAAAACATTTGTTTACCCATTCCGTGTTAGTATTGTTCTTATATAATGGAATTAATAAATATCTACTACCACTACTACACTATGTCCAAATTAGAGAACTAGCACAATGCCAAAGGGGAGCGGTTCTATATGTACATTGAGCCGCTCAACAGACAATCATCAAAGTTTTCTGGTATGTTATGTAATTGTTTTTGGAAGGATCTATCCAAAAATATGATCAAATGTACGTATAATAAGTTGATGGTAGTTATTGAGGAATAGTAACTGTTCAACAATTGCTTAATTTGGGAACTGCGGCTGATGGCTGATGAATCAAATCTACGGACGCTTTTCTAACTTTTCTTAAATAATAGTTACCCTAGGCAATTTGTAAGAAGATCCTTTTTATTAGTGAAATTACCATTGAGTGTCTTATTCATACTTCAGATAATATAAACAGCGACAATTATCAACAGAACTTGAACAACATTATCCCTCCAGATGTTAATCACAATGTTGATTCATCTATTAAAATTTGGCTAGATGAACTGTAAAGTAATTTTTAAATCAGTACTGTAATTAGACTGCAATTTCCACATAATACAATAAAAGAGATACATGAAGGATGTGCTCTTGAATCACACGCTCATGAGATAGGACATCTATATATTAGGGTCTGTAAAAGATTTTTAGAAATTGTATATTCAGAACTGCCTCATACTTCCCTTACCAAGGATAACATGACCGACGTAAACCAGTTGAGTGTCATTTACTCGTATTTACTAAATTGTGAAAAACTGGCTATTAATAATAATAAATCTGTTTCCAATAGTAGTCAATAATTAAAAAAAAAAAATTCCTACTTCTCCTGTACTATAATTTAATTATCAAGTCGAATTTGACGTTCACCTGTTTTTTGCTGACATTTTAGTTTGTTATGTGTCAAAATAAAATCATATATTTTTCTGTAAGTCAGACACGTGCTTTCAAGAAATAATTTGCAAAAATTTGATTTTGTAAGCAGACATGAAGTGTACGAGTACTCATTTATTCAATTATTTGGAACATCGCTGCAGCTATGACCTCAACGACTTAGTAAGTCGTGTCTTGCTTTGTCAATATTGAGAAA